GAGTTTGATACGTCCAGTGTTTAACCAAGAGACTAGCTTTGAATTTGATTGAATTCATCCAATCGACAGTTTGACGGTCATTCGGTTCTCTTGCTGTGAGAAATTTTATGAAGAACTTGATAACAGCGACATCGGTCGCGCGTTTGCAAAATTCAACCGCTTTCGTTTTAAAACTGTTTTAGCGGTCAGTCCAATTTTCGGCCAAGAAGCTGGCTTCTCATTTGGCTGAATGCATCCCGTCGATAATTTGACTGTTACCTAATTCTTTTGCTGTGAAAAACTGATTAAACTAATCCGAAGCAGGTTGTTGACGGTTTTTAAAAAACAGTGAATAATAAGCAAAGTTCCCTCTCAATTAGCCTCTCATACTCATAGAAGTTCAGATCATAGCGACGAAGCATTGGTCAGGCAGGATCTCTGACAAACAGCTTGCTTCACTCTCAAAATAAATAACGTGTGTATAGCAGCGCAACATTCACCTCCCTAGACAGTGTTGACTACATTAAAGTTGAGGACCCACCCTCTGTGCGGCTTTGGAAAACACAGCGGTCAAACGTCTGCGCATGTGCGAGCCATGGAGCAACTAAAAGGCGGCCAAAATATTTTCATGACATTGTTCTTTTCGTGGGTCATCCGCATCCTATAAATGACATTTTCCTCGTTATTTATATATTTGTTTATGTTTTAGCATGTACAACGAGAACTAACAGAAATAGGAGTTATGAATTGTTCTACCTTCTACTTGTTGCAGGTCTTTCTTTTCCGCGGTATGTATCTTCCGCGCTCCTTGAATTTTTTGTCCGCCTCGACTTTGCATTTAGTGCACCAGTTTGTCCCAGGTTTGTAGTTTAGAAAAGATTTTCCCACCTGGTCAAAGACCTGGTACAGGTGGTTTGGGATCGGTATTTTGGCCAGCTATGCCTCCATGACGATGGACATGAACATCGTTTGTCGTTTCGATTCATGTCGTTCCTGTGCTTCAGACAAATCCAGGATCCGGATGGAATCCACAGTCCTTGCCAAAATTTTTCTCGCTCGTCTGAGCGAAGCCGAGTCACTGCAATTGTTTTTTTCTTCTCTCGTTTTTCCTTCTTTTACACACCGTTTGTCGTCCGTTTCCGGCGTCACGCATCGTATGATTAATAAAACCAAATAAAAATATACTACGCCGTGGGATCGCGCTCGTAGCATGACACGGGTTTTCAAGACTTATAAACTTTTTTGGTAAATCTCAAAACAAAATGGTAAATCAACACAATACCGGTAACTTAATAAACTTTGTGTCTGAAAAGTCTTAAGTTTTCCTTTTACCTACTTTCTTTTTTTTTTACAGATTTCTATAAACCAGCAACAACCAGGGTACTTTCTCGAGGGAGGAAGAGAGAGGACTCTGGGAACAAGGTTGGCGTTAATCAGTGCTTTCTTGGATCATTTTTAAGCGATGACTTAGGCAGAGCTTATATGTTGGCACGCATCGCATTCTTTTGAATGGGCAGCGTAGAGCTTTTGTCGCGCTGCGCTTATGTCGCGCGTGATTCGCCGCTCTGTGGAAGGTAAATACATTCTGGGAGGTAGTAAATAAGCACTGTGTGAGCATTGTATGAGCACTGAAATATCTGAACCGAACTTACGTGTGTGGGAGACGCGATAGGTCAAGGTTCTACATTAAATTTACGTATTGGTGAGCTTTGTTTAGGGCTGAACTAAACATATTTGTGGGCTGAAATATCTGTGAAACTGAACTAGAATTGAAGAAAAGCGTTGAAGAAGTTCGCTGTGAAAGCAGTTGAGATAGTAGAAAGCAATGGAGAATAGTGTACGTAACGAAAAGGTGAGCTAGCTGAAGTTTTTTTCTTGATCAGAATTGGTTAATGTAGCTTGGATTATGGTGTCTTAAGTAGAAACAGAGCGGCTGTGGGGTTACACAACATTTATATTTGAAATCAGTTGACATAGCGGGAAGCAATGGGGAATAGTGTAACGAAAAGGTGAGCTAGCTGAAGGTTTTGCTTTGATCAGAATTGGTTAACGTAGCTTAGATTATGTCTCTTTAATGGAAAACAGAGCAGGCGTTGGGTTACACAACATTTACATGAAAGCCAAAGAATACTCAAGTCATGTGAGAGGGAAGTTCTGGTTTATGCTATTGTTTATACTTTACCTGGAGGCAATGCAATGTGTCTTTTAACTTTAAGAAAAGTAATTCGCTGAAGAACCAATCCTTTTACTGTAATGAAAAGAGCTTATAACTGTCACGCATGATAAGAGCACAAATTAGGTTTGGTTTGTGAAAAACGACCAGAAGAGTCTAGAAGACGTGATTTAACCACAGGATTTTCAGCTGAAACCATTCACAATGGAAAACAGGTTATTTTTGTAATAAAACAGAAGGTTTACAGTAGTGATAATGAATGCAAGTTACAACTTATTTTCAGTTTTTAGTTTTTTGTAAAGTTTTTTATGCAATATCGGATAAATTTGCGCTCACCGGCAAACTGATGATACGAACGCATCATCTATATACATACAACTCTAGATCCACAAGCAAGTTGCACACGCGATAGGTCAAGGGTCAACAATAAATTTACGTATTGGTGAGCGTTGTTTAGCCCGGTCTTTTTGCTGTCTTAAGGTAAATTTAATTGAATGAGCACTGTCAGAGCAGTGTATGAGCACTGAAATATCTGAACTTATCTGTGAAACGTGRAATAAACTGTATTGGTGAAAGTCTGGATCCGCCACTGGATTTCTCTTGGGGACATCTATCACAATATTCTTTGACATTGTTTTATTTCATAAAAATTTTTAAGTCTCACTGCCAGTCATTTCGAAAAGTAAACAAAAGGGAAAAAGGTGAATTGCATTATTCAGTTCAAAGAGGAACAATTGAACAATGGGCACAAGTAAGCTTGGACTCTCAAAACCCAACTATGCAAAGCTACTTACAATACAGCTACTTCCCTCACAGGTTGTATCTTACTTTCACTTTTAATTAAGCTAAACCATCAGCCTGTCTGTTTATGTTCTAATTTTCTTGGAACAATTTTAGAAATAGCACGCACACGTCATCGCTTCTGCATGCATTGCATGCCGTTAATTTTAATTCTGTTCATATGCACAGCAGAAAACAGTCCTACTCATGCATCTGAAAATGAGGAATCTACATCATCAAACGGCTTTAATCAAAATCCTCATCGGCAATGAAACTATCACGTTACGATGTCGCGATGTGGCCGTCACGCTCGATTTCGATACAGAGGCGACGAGGAACCTAAATACTCCGTAGATAAACCGGCGGGTGGGGTTAAAAGCTACTAAATTCCATAGCACCTAGGGTTCAAGGATCACCGCAAAGGCCACAATGATCATCTTGAAGCCAGGTAAGAGATTATAGTAAGTGAATTTATCTGGGCACTTTACGAAGGCGAGTGTGTTAGTTACTGGAATATTTTCAAAATTTCCAGAACTTTAAGCGGTTGTTAGTTTTGAAAACCTAGTGAGCAGACATATTTTATTTTTGTTTTGAATTAATGGTCATTTATACTTTCTATTCATGTAGTTTAGCAGTTTCAAACAGGTGCCACATTTTTAAAACGTGCCTTCAAAGTAGAGCTATTTTCGTGTTTGGTTCAAAACTCAATTTAACGGGTAGAAAATCTTCTTTTAACTGTTGGAGGTAGTGGCTGACTGAATGAGACATGGCATCTACTGAAACCTTTGATTCAATCACCAATAAACCTGTAAAGCGGCGAACAAATCGCTTTTGGTGCCTGGTGGCCCTGGGAATATTGGTTGCTCTCGTAATCTTCTTCGTTGGTTTCCTGATCAGTTATTTTGCAAAGAAGGCGCGAACGAGCGAGACGGCGAATTCATCCGGGAAGAGAGAGAACGAAGAATATTATTACACAAAATACCACGAACAGGCGGTTAATTCACTCACAGCAGAAAGCGTGGAGGCATTTTCTCGGTAAGTTAAGTAGATAGTGCAATCGTAGGGGAGGACGCTGGAAATTCGGCGGTTTTATGGTAATATTGGTCAATAGAATCATTATATCAGGCAAATCAATTCTTCCCAAGCTCTGTGCACAATAAAAGTTCACCTCAAAATGTACTACGGGAAGATACTGCAGAGGGGGATTAACTCCGCATTATTAATTTAGTCAGCTGCCTCGTTGAAGGTTCCGCAAGTTTTTCGCGGAAGAACCCGACGCCCGTATGCGTTAATGGAATGTCCTAGCTGTAGCGTTGTTACAGGGAATGACGGGGCGAACGCGCCAGTTGGACTCTAAAACTCACAAATTTAATACGCTGTAATGGTCAGAGACGCTATATAAACCAAAACTTACTAAGTTTTTTTCAGAAAACGTTATGTACGTCTTGGAAGTTCAGAGAAAACGTCTGAAGTAGAATTACATTGTAACGAACTGTGCTTATCAGGTTGTACACGACCTCTATGTCACACTGGCGTATCCCAAGGATCTAAAGAGAGATAAGCGTCTCAAGAGGCTTGGCGGTGGCAGTGGACAGTACAGAGTGTTGCTATGTGAAACGTAAACGCATTGTGGAGAATTTCTTGCTATTTCAATGCGCTCATAATCAATTAAAATAGGTTTGCTCCCTCGAAAAATTCGAATATTTCAGGCTTCAGAGACAGGAGTTTTTATCGACAGAAGAACTGCAATCGAAATCCAGTAACAAAAGAGGAGCCTTAACAGCCTGAATTGCTAAGGCAAGAAAACCACCGACATACAAGTCTGCAGAAATGAGAAACACAACTTTTCAGTCTCTAAGGAACCATTAATATATTCAAAGCTGACAACTAACTCCTGTCTATCAAGGTTGCTAAATTATCAAATCTGCATGGAATTCCCAAAGATTTCCAAGGGGTAACATCGAAAGATGGCCGTCAAGATGGCTTTCAAACCTGTGATAAGGTCTAAGAATGAATGAAGGAAGGGAGAGAGAGATGAAAAATGAGGGAAGGACGGGAGGGAGGGAGAAAGAGGGGAAGGGGGAAGGGTTAATTGTTAACTGATTGATTGATTGATTGATAGATTGATTGATTGATTGACTGACTATGAATGATGAAATGCTCAATCACCAGCAGCAAGCGGGAAATGTGTCATTTTCTCAAAGACAAGAGTCCAGATACGAGACTTGGAGAGGCCGATCTAAAATGATCCTAAAGGAAGAATGTGTGTCAACGGCGCGGGGAGAGGGGAGGGGTTGTTTATGATGTTCATGAGTTTCTTGACATTTCTTGACGGTGGCATATCATTTTTGCAGTAATTTCACCAGGCGTCCTCACATTGCTGGCGGGGAACAAAATAAGAAGCTCGGCGAATACATTCGTGATAAGTGGATCAGTTATAAGTTTGATCACGTGGAGATGGTTCAGTATGACGTCCTGTTATCTATGCCACCAAGGGATAAACCAAACGTCGTCAAGATCCTTAACACAACAGACGGAAGCGCTCTCTGGAACGTAGAGGGCAGGGAAAAGGTAAGGAATCTCCTCCTGCTGCTGGTTTGACAGACTTGTTTAGACTACTTCAGTAATACCTGTCTTCAAGTGAATACTTAGAGCGTTAGTTTGTAATGCAACGTTGGCATTTATTTCATGGTTCTCAACATGTGTTGCAGTTGAACCTTCTCTGGGTAACTGAAAGTATATCTTATGTTGAGAAAGCTCGTGCATAACCCAGTTTTAAAATTTGCACCTTTTATATTCCCTGTGTAACGTAAAGGAGCGGATAAAATAGATGGGAAGGTAAAACCTTTTATTTTCTCTGTAAGTCAAAAACAATGGAAACTGGAAATTCAGTAAACTTGAGCGTCAAGAATTAATAAAGAACACAAAGAAATATCTTCATTCAGTTTACCTTTTGTTTCATTCAAAAGCAAGGCACTCTTTTGTCTTTTAGACTGCAGAACCAAGTGAGAACGATTCTCTTGTTTTGCCGCCATTCCTCGGCTACTCTCCGCCAGGTGTGGTACCAGCCGCTGACCTGTTGTATGCAAACTACGGTACCGTGGACGACTTTAAAGAATTGGAGAAGAGAAACTTGAACTGCACTGGAAAGATTGTGATCATACGATATAGAAAAATATTTCGAGGAAATAAGGTAATATTCGATTGCCAACCACTTTAACTTGTTTCTCATCTCCTTCTCTCCACACCTCCTTCACATCAGTAATCCAATTCCTTACTTTCTCAAATTGCATCAAAATCAAAAGGTGGACAAAGTATGAAGCAAAAAACCACATGCCACTGGGTGGAAGGGGGTGGGGGTATGATACACAACATGAAAAGTAACCAGAGTACTTATGAGCTATGGTTTGTGTCAAATCTCCCTTAGATACCTATTGAAAATATAATTGAAAGGATATTAGTGTTAGAGTAACAAGTGCACATACGAAGCAACAATATGACAGCTAAGGTTTACTTTTATGCAATTCTTGTAACAAGGTTCAAAATGCAGAAAAATGCGGAGCTGCTGGCGTACTGTTGTACTCTGATCCAGCGGACTACTCTCCAGAAGGCATGAACAACACGTTCCCAAAGACATGGTGGCTCCCTGGGACTGGCACCCAAAGAGGAACCATTAGTTTTGCACATGGCGATCCTTTGACCCCACTCCTCCCCTCCATAGATGGAGTTTACAGAATAACCAGAAATGACACTGACGCTTTGCCCAAAATTCCCGCGCAGGTCATGACTTATGATAACGCAGTTGAATTCTTGAAACGCCTTAAAGGTGAGGAGTAACATAATTTAGTAACTCGTTAATAAATAAATATTATCCTTAAAATTGTGAGGCAATTATTGGACAGTTGAGAAGCTTATCAGTGACAAGAAGTTAAACAATTGTTCATGTCTAAGGCAAAGGGAAATATCTTATGATAACAGAGGTCAACAATCATTTCTACATTCGACCAGCAAGATTTTCTCTTCAGATCTTCCTGATTAACACCATACTTAACAATGCACAAGAGCGGACCGTAATATGCGAACAGTTTCTGTTATTAGAGGGTATCTCAAATGCGTTTTTTGTTTTTTTGCTTTTTCTTGCTTCAGGTGATCAAGTTCCTCCAGAATGGACGGGTGGCTTAAACATCGTATACAGGTTTGGACCAGGCTTCAAAGATTCAGAGTTAAAAGTCAGACTTGAAGTCAACAACCAGTTCGTCACAAAACCTGCATTTAACGTGATTGGAATGATTTTAGGAAAAGAGGAACCCGACCGCTTGGTGCTCATGGGTAACCACAGAGACGCGTGGGTCTTTGGCGGAGTGGACCCATCAAGCGGAACAGCGGTTATGATGGAAGCGTCGCGTGGTATCGGAGAACTGCTGACCAACACTGACTGGCGACCCAGGAGGACAATTGTGTTTTGCAGCTGGGGAGCTGAGGAATACGGTCTTATTGGCTCTTACGAATGGGTGGAAGAAAATAGAAATATGCTCAGGGACCGTGCGGTGATGTATTTAAATGTTGATTCCGCCGTGAAAGGGAACTACAGTTTTGGGGCCAATGGGAATCCTGGCTTGAAGTCGCTTGTTTATCAAGAATCCGCGTTCGTGAAGGATCCCAATGCGCATGACAAAGAGGCAAGTCTGTATGATAGCTGGTTGATCAAATATCCATCTTCCTCAGAACCTGGTAAGCCTCACTTCGGAGGTCTAGGCTCGGGATCCGATTATGCACCATTCAGTCATTTCCTCGGAGTACCAAGCATTGACATGAGTTACAGATTTAAGAGCATGGGCAGAACCCTTTATCCTGTTTATCATACAGTACATGACACATTTTACTGGCAAAAGACCTTCAACGATCCACATTTTACCACTCACTTGTCAATGTCCCAAATCGTAGCCAGGATTGTTCTTGAGGCTGCTGACACTCCCATCCTTCCTTACAATCTGATGGATTACAAAGAAGCCCTGGAAAGTAACTTTGAAGCACTGGAGAAATTCTACAAGTCATTACTTCTGCAGGGGAATGTGACCCTGGACCACTTGGCCAATCAAATAAAACAATTTTCAAGAAACGCAGTGGCATTCGAAAAGAGAAAGGCTGAAGCCCGCAATACCCAGGACTTTGCCAAACTACGCATCCTCAATGATCAGATGATGAACATGGAGCGCGCCTTCATTTGGCCGTTTGGACTCCCGGGAAGGAAAATAATTCGTCACGTGCTGTTCGCACCTCAAATGCACAACAACTATGGCAGTTCAAGCTTCCCGGGAATCACTGACGCATTGTTTGATATTGAGAAGACCAACGACTGGAAACTGGTCAAGGAGCAAGTGTCCATCGCTATAACATGCGTGCGAGAGGCTGGCAAGATTTTGGCGGCAATGGACTAGTAGAGGAGAGTGTCACACAGTTGTCAAAGGTTTAGTGAGATTGACTGATCTAGTGGAGAACAATTGAGTTGGATGGTTTAAACTGTAGCTTTGGGTTTGTACTGTAGCGTATTCAAATTTTTTCAAATGAAATTTCTCTGAAAGTCATTTAGTGTCAGAGATGTGTCAGCTCTTGTTGTCAGTGACCGCTAGTAAATGATACAAAAGCATACTCACACTCCCTGAACTCAACAGCCACTTAGCAGTTAAGTCCCCCTTTACAAACTGTATGCTTAAATGCTTCAATTTACTAAAACGTTGAAATATAGAAGCACTATGACACTTTTTTCTTTAAAACACTTGAGGGAAGGCTGTTAATCGAGGTGTCCTTGATGTTAATGCAAAACGTGTATTCGAATTAGCAGAACGTTTGTCTCTGGTTACTAGGTACCATCAAACACGTTTGTGAAACTCGCCTTAGGTACATTTCAAAGCTTTGCAAATAGAAATCTAACGATTATTTTCTCGATGCGAACGTCACTGCACTAGTTTAACGACACTCATTTGCATCTGCATCCTTCAACCACAATTACGTTTTTCAAATGACAACCATTAAACGCACGTTTATAACTTCGAATAAGAGATGAGTAGTATTCCGCACTGGCCATGCGCTCCTGATTATAATTACCAATAAACTAATAGGGAGTGAGTTGTGAAATTCGCAACACAAGCATAGCGCAGAACGATCTTGGCAAAGCAAAACGAGATGGATATAAGAAAACCGTGTCCGATTCACCGAATAGTAAATGAGCGACAGAAAGAGACCTAAAAAAGAAACCACGTTGCGGCCGGCTGATTACTGCCAGGTTTCGTGTTCGCAAATCCCTCACTCGAAGGCGTTGGAGAGAGGAGGAAGTGGTGAGAAGCTCCTTGGAATTTTCGGTTGGGATGTGTGCCCCATGACTTCAAGTTGTTCCCAAACGACTCAAACCCCTGAGCCATTCCATTTTCTCACCCGGAGGTCTCCCCTTTATTTCGTTTTAAGCTGTCTGATGAAAAACTCTCTGAAGCGATCGAGGAGTACCCGCCCTCCCCATAACCCCCCGGAGTTGTCCCAAATGCCGAAGGAGTGAAGAAACGACGAACCGATTGACAATTTGGGCTGATAAGCAATTAAACGGAGAGACATCCATGTTCGTTTATAGGATTGCGTGACAAAAAAAAATTACGACGCGCAATGCGCCACTGATTTATTTCCAAATGTCCTCAATTTCAGTCACATCCTGTAGACGTTTCCGAGTCTCAATCCAGGAAAAACTGCATCCGTAAACATCCAAACGCATTATACAGTAACACATCTGGCAATTTTAAGGCTTTCCGTGTGTCAGTACGATTTCCAAGTTGTAATGGTGGCTGTGTATACAACGCACATTGCCATCTGCATACGTCGGATATGAAAATGACAATGTTCTTGTAAAAGCAAACTTTCTTGTGTCATCGGGTTGCAAGGATTCTCGTTGCCCAATTGGCGCCTGAAGTGAGGTCTAATCATAATGTAGTCACTTACCGGAGTTTAAAAGTAATTGAAAACTTCAAACCTACAGCCCTAAGAGTGCTCGCTCTCGAGAGATTCTGTAACTGGGGCTCAGTTGGGGAAATTAGCTTAGTGGCTGGGTGGGAGAGCAGGACCTTCTGGCAACTTTTCAGGATATCAATTGGACCAAAACATCTTTAAAGGTCGGCACACACGACGGGGCTAGTCCCTACGACTAGTCCCCTGAAAAGTTTACGCGAAGGGACTGGTTGCTTGGACTTGTCCTTCGAACAGTTCACACGAAGCGTTTTGAGGAACAAGTCGCACGGACCAAATTTTAGTCCCTGCGACTAGATTTTGTGGTAAAAATGGCTAGTTCACACGATGGGACTTGTCCCCGCGACTAGTGGCGGGGACAAGTCCCCTCGTGTGTGCCGACCTTAAAGAACATGGTGTTTAATGGTGATCTTGACCTACTCGCTGACATCGTCACTAAAAAGACACCGGTCACAAAAGAGTTACAGCAAGTAGTATTTCCACAATTCACCTTGATTCACCCTTAACAAAAAGAGGACATTGCTTTTCTTACACTTAAAACATGGAGCTAATTGGAACGCTTTGTTCAAGGAGCTGCTGCATGACCGTGACCTTTACAACAAGCTTTATGATTAATTAACTGAAGTTATGTTCCATAATAACTGTTCAAACAATGATGATCCGACAAGCAGAATTAATTTTAGAATTATTTGAAACGGGAGGTATCACAATCTAATGTTCCCATGCAAGCGATTGCTTCCGTGAGAGAGAGTTGACTTATTACAAGCCGCTTGTCTGCACGCTAGGATATAATTGACCCTTCCTCTTATCAAAAAGTTTTGGGTAAAGTGTCTGAAGTCAGTTCAAACATATCGCGTGATCTTACATAAACTTATTATAAGTGGCTGGTGCTACACAACAACAGACAGGAAAAAAGGAAGAAGACTAGTATATAGATAGATAGGTATGAAAGAAACACTCCCTATTTCACGAATTAAGTGAACTATCTCTAATTTCAATTGACTTGTTTTTGACTTCAGTAGCGCATATCACTAGGCTGTGATTGGCTGACACTGCTGAACGGTGACCTCGATCAGTTTAATTATTCTGATTGACGCTGAACTTGCTGAAGTTGTTGAGTTGTGAAGTCGTTGTTGAGCTACGTGCACTAGGTAGTGGCTGACTTGATGAGTCATGGCATCTGGTGAAACCTTTGATTTAACCACCAATAAACCTGTAAAGCGGCGAACAAATCGCTTTTGGTGCCTAGTGGCCCTGGGAATATTGGTTGCTCTCGTAATCTTCTTCGTTGGTTTCCTGATCGGTTATTTTGCAAAGAAGGCGCCAACGAGCAAGACGGTGAATTCATCCGGGAAGAGAGAGAACGGAGAATATGACTACAAAAAATACCACGAACAGGCGGTTAATTCTCTCACAGCAGAAAGCGTGGAGACGTTTTCTCGGTAAGTTGTAGGTAGAGCTTTGCGGATACAAACATGCAAAAACTTTATTTAGTCTGGAATTTGCAGATCAGTGACAGTTTCAGACTGATGCTTATCTCTTCCAGCTACCTTTTAATAACTGAATTAACTAGCTAATTATACATAACTGAAGAAATCGATTAGGCCTTGAGCTACTGTCATTTTCTTTTTCATTCAAACCTTTAGCCGATCTACGGCATCGTCAGGGTATGTAAATATTCCACTATGCGTGATATAAAAGCGATGTCACGAATAACTGGAATATACACGAATAATAAGAAATACTGTAGCTCAAGGCCTCAATCGAATCGTCCAATTTATAACAATGCTATTGAAGGATAGCTTCAAACATATATAACTGAGCAAACCCATATGACCGTTGATTTGATCGCAGCTAGATTCGAACACCCAAAACTGCTCTGCAGCCCCACAAAATTACATAACAACTCATACATTAAACAGACCTTAAACAAAACAAAAAGAGCGATGTGTGTTTATGTCGAGAAAGTGTCTGTCTGTATCATATCTTAGTGCCTATCACAGAGGGTCAAGAGATTTGGTATGGCATGCGGACGGCGAGAAAAGGAAAGAAAAGAAAGTCTTATTAATCTACAGCAAATGCATCAGATTTCCAAAATTTATTACTAAAATACTGAACCTTACACTCTACTTAGAATCTTTATCCCAGCTAAAACCAAAAGACCCTGAACATGATGCCATGACGTCATCAAAGCTATAAGACCTGCAAAAACATATATTTTATCACAAGTTTTCAGCTCGATAGCGTCCTGAGACCAGGAGAAGTTAACTGCTTATTTATCTTCGATAACAATTCAAATTCGTGTGTTCTTTTGTTCAATGTTCGATTTTACTTTTTCGTGGCGTGACAATGAAAACCAGCAGGATGTGTCGACATTTACATTTCACACACTTTTCTGCCTCCCACCGAAAATACTGTACTAAAACGAGTCTCTTGTAGTTATTTAAGGCTGACAAATTGTAGGGCCTGTCTCCTTCTTGGTTTTTCTGTACAAGGATGCAGCAGAGGAATAATGCAATGACGATCCCCCGCCCATTCTCCCTGTAGACCCCTTCGTAATCTTCCCGTAAGTATTGCCAAGCTGAAGTTGTCTGCCAATTCACTGCCAATTCCACCTCAACCAATTCGAATTAAAATTCAGTAGTCGAAATTACTGTATAAAATCAGTTACATATCCTTACCAATTGTTCAAAAACATTTTTTAGCTGCACTCACGTAAATTTATAAAAAGATGTTGTAAATATCTTTGTTCAGAAGTGAATAACTCGTCACATGAGTTTTCAATTGACACCAACTTGGTATCATTTTAAAGCTTACCGTCTTATTAGTCCATCTCAACGGCTTCTACACCCATCTCAACGCAATTAATAACGAAAACTTTCACCCGAACATCGTGCTTTAATAGCATACACACTTGTACTGGCTATTCCGGAAGTGAATAACTCGACACGTGACTTTTCAATTGACACCAACTTGGAATCATTTTAAAGCTTACTGCCTTATTAGTCCATCTCACGGCTTCTACATCCATCTCAACGCAATCATTTTTTAAAATAAAGAAAAGGACACGNTACAGGTTTGGACCAGGCTTCATAGATTCAGAGTTAAAAGTCAGACTTGAAGTCAACAACCAGTTCGTTACAAAACCTATATTTAACGTGATTGGAACGATTTTAGGAAAAGAGGAACCCGACCGCTTGGTGCTCATGGGTAACCACAGAGACGCGTGGGTCTTTGGCGGAGTGGACCCATCAAGCGGAACAGCGGTTATGATGGAAGCGTCGCGTGGTATCGGAGAACTGCTGACCAACACTGACTGGCGACCCAGGAGGACAATTGTGTTTTGCAGCTGGGGAGCTGAGGAATACGGTCTTATTGGCTCTTATGAATGGGTGGAAGAAAATAGAAACGTGCTCAGGGACCGTGCGGTGATGTATTTGAATGTTGACTCTGCCGTGAAAGGGAACTACAGTTTTGGGGCCAATGGGAATCCTGGCTTGAAGTCGCTCGTTTATCAAGAATCCGCGTTCGTGAAGGATCCCAATGCGCATGACAAAGAGGCAAGTCTGTATGACCACTGGTCAATACAAATTCCATCTTCCACAGAACCTGGGAAGCCTGACTTCGCAACTCTGGGTGCGGGATCCGATTACGTACCATTCAGTCATTTTATCGGAGTACCAAGCATTGACATGAGTTACAGATTTAAGAGCATGGGCAGAACCCTTTATCCTGTTTATCATACAGTACATGACACATTTTACTGGCAAAAGACCTTCAACGATCCACATTTTACCACTCACTTGTCAATGTCCCAAATCGTAGCCAGGATTGTTCTTGAGGCTGCTGACACTCCCATCCTTCCTTACAATCTGATGGATTACAAAGAAGCCCTGGAAAGTAACTTTGAAGCACTGGAGAAATTCTACAAGTCATTACTTCTGCAGGGGAATGTGACCCTGGACCACTTGGCCAATCAAATAAAACAATTTTCAAGAAACGCAGTGGCATTCGAAAAGAGAAAGGCTGAAGCCCGCAATACCCAG